TACATCTGTGGTCCTTCTTACTTTCTCCTGAAAATCCTTTAAGTTTTTTATTTTTACTGTCAAATCTTTTCTAGTTTCTATTTCTTTCTGCATTATTTTGATTTTTATTGTGTGCTTTGGCATCTTTTATCCAGGTCATTTTTCTCTTCCTTTTTTTGTCAATAATTATTTTTGTATACCTTTTTTATTAATATTACAATTTTTTTACTTTTAAGGGTTCAGAGCCTCGAAGACGCAGTTTATTAACCCTAGGATCTCTTAGATCTAAGAGAGAGAGCTTCACTGACTCTCCTAGTGGAGCTGACACACCTAGTCAGACAGGAGCAAGCCCACACAAAAGTCAAAGTCAAGGGGATGCACCAAGTTTTGTTCGATATAGTGAGAAAGATAATTCCCCTGTGCATCTCAGTAAGAGTTTAATATCAGATAGCCATGATAAATCTGAGAAAAATAAATCCAGTAGTTTCTCAAAAGACAAGTTAACAGGTGACCAAGGTGACAAGTCGAAAAACAATTCTGACAGTGACTGGGATAGCGATGACAGTCTGCCTCTGGATGGCTTCCATGTGAAGAATGAAGCTCCACCAGTCCCTCCCCTCCCGGCAGAAATTCTAGAGCAGGCAGAAGCTAGCACTTTCATGCAGGGTATAAAAGATAATGTATCTGAAGCCTCTGGCAGTGAAAAGAGAGGAAGATTCCTTCTTAGAGCCACATCAATAGATCTTACTGATGATGATGGAGACTTTATTAAGGAAAAGGGTGCAAGCTTTTCAGCTGAGTCTGAGGAGAAGACAGGACTCTCTGAAGAAGTGATCTTATCTCAGGTACTCACTTAGTTACCTTATATTACTTTGCAGTAAATCATTTTCAATTCATTTTTGTATTAGTAGTATTCTGAGAATTCTTAGATGTAATTATTTGATAATGCTTTGTGACGTGGCGGAATTACTTTAGAAAGAAAACAATTCTGTTGGAGGTTACCCTATACTTTGGAGTGACTTTGGACACCCATATATGTATTTCACAGTGTGATATATTAACACATAAATGTAATTCAGATAATTGAGAAGGTTTTTGAAAAGGGAAAGAAATATCCTTTTAGGAATTATGCATCCCATTCTGCATGTGCAAGTATGTTTTTAAAGCACTTTTCTTTTCTTCCCAATCTTATAATAACAACCTTTTACACACTATAAACAGTGAAACAAAATTATTCAATATTGTTTCCGTGAAATTAGTCTCTGTGAGTCCATACATTTCTAAGCATAAAATATGCCAAGAATTTCAACATTGTTTTAGGTAATACTAATTGCTCAGAGAAGGATGATGGATTTCTATTTATTTACAATTGATGCCTTTGTTAGAATTCACACCTAAATAGGTTTTGTTGAAATATACATAATATGTGATTTTCATTTAATGCTTATTTAACTTAAATTAAATTTATTAGCAATTAATAATCACATGAATTATTTTACTGTCATTACTGCACATCTGCCTTTTTACATTTTTTTATCTTATTTAAATTGCAATCCAAATATTCAGGATAATAACTTAGATTGTGTCATTTTTGAATTGTTATAAATGCCAATTGTCATAATTTAAAATTACTAATTTCTCTTTTATTTAAATTTTTAGTCCTCCTCAAATGCTGGTACATTGGGAAGAGATGGCACCTTATTGGGATATGAAGAGGTGTGGGAAGCAAATGCTCAATTGCCTGCTACACATATTTCTGGAACTACAACAGGCATTGGAGAAAATCATCCTTCAATTCAAGAAGAGGAGGAGGAATCTGGTGGACACGTTATTCCAAAGAAAGAGTTGAAGCAACCATTTATGGAAACATGGGGAAGCTTAGCACCTCCTAACAGTAAAAGAGTTATTGAAGACAGTTTGGTTTATCCCTCTCCACGTCTTGACCAGAGAACAAAACAGATGTCTCTGGGCTCATTTGAAATTGGAGAGGCTAAAAATATAAAGTACAAGTTAGAATCTCATTCTTTAGATGAATTAGGCCATCCAGTTCAAGGTCCACCTCAGAATCCTGATATTCCAGCTTTTCAAAAAAAGAAACATTCTCGACAACAATCCATCTCAGTACTCAACTGGAGTAAGAGTGAAGATTTATATCAGAAACCAAGGGCAACAAATTTAGAACGCATGATTGCTGATAGTAAGCGAATCAATAAGCAACTTGAATGTTATGATGAAGCTCTCCGAGAATTAGCTCAAGTGACTATCATAAAGAAACAACATTCTCTTCCTAATCCCTCCATACCAGATATAATGGATCCACCTGTGTCTCGCTACATTGGTCCAAAAGCTCAAAGATATTTGTCTCTTCCAAGAACTAATGAATTAATAGATGAAGCTTTCAAAGAAATAGGTCAGACTTCTGCTAATATGAAAAGAACTTCTCTTTCTTTGCCACGAACAATTACTCCAAAAGATATGGAGGCAGCAGCAGAGTCTGTTGCTCTTGTAAAGAAAAAGAAGCAGAGCACAAGTAGACGGAGAGCAGAAAGTGAAGGAGAGACTTTTACATCTCGTTTAAGAGATCACATTAATCGATCTCTCTCTTTTGATACAAAACTCCAAGGATCTAGTAGTTCATCTCTTCCTAAAACTCCTGCTCCAGTGGGTAAGAGTGCAACTAGTGGTGCTAAGAGTGCTCAGATTATCACAACTGCTCAAATAGATAAAAGTTCACAAGCGGATAAACCTATAAGAAAAAAGCGGAAAATACTTCTCGCTATGAGATGTTTCCGGAAATATGAGCGAGAATCAGTGAGTGGAACCTCCCCTACAGAAGCATCTGAGGAGGAATCATCTGAAGATCCTCCTTTCTGGATTAGTACGGACAAATCAGGTGCTTTAGAACGTCAGTCGACTGTTATTGAGAAAGTAGATTTCCGTCCAAAATCAAAACCAGATGCTATGCGTGTGTCTCCTTCTGCAATGGCTGGCTCAACCTTTATTTCAAAAGAAGATGAATTACAGATTGAGGAAGAACAATCAGAAGTCAGAGATGTAATAGTAGAATTTCACGAGGAAGGTGCCAATGTTACTGTGAAAGAAGAAACAGTCACCCAACTACATCAGCCACTGAATTCTGAAAATGATGGTAAAAAAGACAGATCTCTTAAAGGCAAAGATGCAGAAGAAAAAAATATAAACATTCAACAGCAGAAATCTTCAATTGAGCAGCAAATAAAGAATGATGAAATAGTAGAGAAAGTGTGTGTACAAGAAAGTAGAAAATCAGAGGAAAGCAATCCAAAACCATTTGGAGAAAAATTGGTTTTGGAAGCAGTCCAAGTAGAAATTAAAGTAGACAGCGCAGAAGTAGAGATGCAACCTGCGGACAATATTATTGAAGAAAAGGAAGCAGAACCAGAAAATGTGACTCAGAAACAAGAATCAGGAAACGAGGCATTAAAAAGTGATTCAAGCCAGTTACAAGAAGTATCAACTGATGATGTACATCTTCCTATCCAACTTCCTACATGTCTGGATGCAAAAGATTCAACCACAGAAAATGTTTGGGATACTCCATCTCCAGGTCATCACACACCTATATCAAAGGAAGGTGAAAGGTACAGTTTAAAGCTCATATAATACAATTCTTTTCTATTTCATTCATGCATGTATACATGTATTGTGTATGTCATGTCTTGTCAAGCCTGTGTGCTTTAAATTAATTGTTGTGTTGTTTAGAATGATTTTTGAAAAATGTGTGGAAGTTTCTGTGCATTTTGGCCATTTATAAAGTATATAATAATGTGATATCACATATAATAGTGTAAAAATTAATTTTTAAAATATTCTTTTAACAGATATGTTGAATGTAAAGAACAAATAGAAAAGTGCAGATTTTGTTTGGAAATATTCTAAATGTGAGACATTTTTCATTAGTTTACAAGAGCCACTAATTTAATATACGTACTTGATAAATAATCGTAGGTTTCTAAGATTTATATTCATAGATTTAATATTCATTTATTTGATCTTAGTATAACTGCACAATGGGAGTCAGTAATGAAACAATACATCCTGTGACACTAAAATAAAAACAGTTCATGATTTCTGATTGAATATATATTATAATTTATTATTACAGTGTTCAATTAAGGTTAGGACTGTAAAAAATACAACATAGTTTCATAATACATTTTACATAATTTCCAGTTCCAAATTTTATAAATGTTATTTGTATTTAGTAAATACAATTGAAGTTATGCCCATAAAAATATGTTAACCAACATTTTCTTGAATTGAGAGAGGAAGACTTTTGCCTAGAAAGGGGGAAATAAATGATTGAAGAAAATGTGTATATTTATAGTTTATATTTACAGTTGTGGCATCATTGTAACATTATTATAAGACTGTAAACAACCAAGTATTTTCAGGAAGAAAATGAGACATTAAAAAGTGACAAAAAGTCAGTTGCAAGGAGCATTAACAGATGGTGTTATTACATTAGAAGCTTTAACAGTGATGGGAACAGTGTATTCAGTATAATAAAACAATTTTGTATCTATATTTGCTCATATTCATTGGCATTATTTTTAGAAGCTTTGAAAATTGACAGACAAGACCTTCTAAACATTCATTCATTCAGATGCCCTGAGCTACAATTAATAATTTTCTCCTTCATATTTTATTTTATTTTACTTTATTTTTTTGTACTGAATTGATTGTTATATTTCTCTGCAATTGATCCAGATTAAAGGAAAGGATAAAACTCCTCTCTGCTTTGAAAGAATAAGCAAACAGTTCATCTTACCAACTCATGTCTCTTAGTCTTCTTTTGTCAGGGTACCTCTGAGTAACAAAATTCAAATCTGATATGGAAAGTTGATGAAAAAATGGCATCACAGTTTGTTTTCTTTTTCCCCCTTGCTTTCCATTTTTCTGTGCTTTATCTCTATACTTGGCATTTATACAGTCATCTTTATCATTCTGTCCTACTTTCATCATACTCATGTTGTGATGATTGGGTTGTACTTTACTTTGTACTTTGTCAAATACTTCATAATGAATCAATAATTTCAAAACAATTGTGTGATAAATTAATTTTTTCATTTATTAATATATAGATGGATACAGCAGTTATGATTACAGTTATCAATATTGACTCTCCAGGTGTTTCCAGAAATGTTTTGTAAAGTTTACATTATAAAACTTGTAATGTACATTAACCCTTTAGGGCAGTAATCCACAGTCTGCAACAAACACCCTTTTACGTGGCTTTCCTGTAGGAGTTCCATAGGCTTGAATCTGAAAAATAGATTGTAAAACTTGATATTGTGTATGATCCGGAGCATTGTAATCTTTTTATAATACGGACTGTTGAATCATTTGGGAGAAAAAGTTGTGTAAAGGGAGTTTGAAAATGTGATTGTGGGAAATGTAATGAAAAGTATATAATGTTATTATGTGAAAAATAGGGAAATGCAGATGAGAAATGAAAGTTCAATTGTGAATTGTATCTTCTTGGGATGTATATGTTTAAAACTCTGAATAAGAAATGTCAACACAATTATGTGCAACCATAATGCAAGAAGATTGAGTAGAGGAAATTGTATTAAATCATTATTATTTTTCATTAATTAAATAATTAACATGTGTTAAAACACTGTTCTTATTCTCCTTGATTAAAGGCACAAGCATATTGACTTCATTAAAATAATTAATGACTTACCTCATATAAGACTTTCATATTTTCTATAACCCTGCCAATCACTACACAATGGCCATCAAGTGATGTCAGAGGTCGAAAAGTAATATTGAAAATAGAATTATTTGTGGCTCGCCCAAAACTAGCCATTGACAGAACACCTTGAAAATATGAAAAAAAAAGATGCTGTAATATCAGTTGAAAACCTTGTTGAAGTTCATAATTTCATGGAGATAATATGTCTTCCGATTTATAAAGTCTGGAGACCTTAGGATTCCAATAAGTAATATCATTATTATTTGTAAAATTACACTTTTTATTTGTGTAATGTGTGTTAGTAAATATATACTATAAAGTACATATTTTAAATTTTTAATATGAGGGAAGAATATTTGAACATAATTCCATTTCAAATATATTACTACAAAATTACAAAGTATTCTTTGTACATAGGTCAACATTCAAAATCTATCATTTTTTCTTCATGGTGGAAAAAGTTATTTATTAAGATCAAAAATATTAAATTTCTATTAAAAAAAATGTCACCTGCTCCTCCATGGCGAAGAATGAAGTTTTCATCAGGGAAGTGAAAACCATATACAGACATGCCTCCTGATCCATTGCCTTTGGTAACGTCCCCACCCTGACACATAAGTCCTGGTGTGATGCGATGAAAAGGACTCCCTTTGTATGTGAGTCCAAGCGCTCCTTTGCAAATTGCTAGGAAGTTAAATGCGGTCTTGGGTACAATATCTGAGTAAATTTCAAAAACCAAACGTCCCAATTTGTTACCACCTGCAGCTTCAATATCAAGGAAACATCTGGAAAAACAATTGGTTTAATTTGTAGACTATATTCGTTAACATTTGTTGTGATTGTACGCTGTAATTTTCAATTGCCAATTTACCAAAGTACCTGTAAGGTTTGTTCACCAGTAGTTCTTTTGGAAGACCTATTTCAGGAGTTTCAGTTTTGAATCCTGTAATTAGATTTTTGTAAATAGATATTTGCATTAATAACTGTACATTTCTCTTCCAATCAGCCTTCTGTTGTTCGTAGCAATATACTGGATTCTTAAAAAGAAACATTAATTTGAATTTCTATCAAGGACACGAGTGGAATTTTCACAAGCTTCATCATTATGTTCAACTTACTGTGTTTTGTATTCTTTTATATATGAAACAGTTTTCTTTGGTGATTTGTACTGCTTCTCGTTTTCGAACAGTGTATCTTGAACTTGTTTTGACTGGGTATTTTTTCCAAAATGTATCTATGGCACCCTAAAATTATAAGCATTTTCTAATAAATGTTGAGTACTAATATATTCCATATTTGGTTCAAGTTGGAAGTGAGAAAATATTATATATTGCAATACTTTTTCATTAACTGCAAAAATGCTTTGCTTACTATTAATGTTAATTTGAGTACCTTGTTTACAAACAAACCTTTGTTCGATTTATGTTGTTTATTTTGAACAATAAGTGTTTGTTCTCTCTTTGTATTTTTTCAGCTTTTTCATTGACGAGTTGTAACTGTTTGAACTTAATATACAAATGATAATATAATTGTGGTGCTTTGTTGTCAATCATGGGTTGTGCATTTACAACCTGTAGGAAAAAGTTTATAAAAGGAACAGAATTGCCAGCTAGTAAATGTACAAAATACTAATTAACTAAACAAAAAATTTAAATGAAGTTTAAAGATCAAGGGATAAAACAATTATGAAATCTGACACAAATATTGTTTACAAAATTTTCAAGATGTGTCTTAGTAGTACATACTGATTTTCGATGACGTAAATAAGACTGGTGTCGCCAATATCGATCCACGTAAGTTCCAGGATTGCTTAAAGAAGGAGGGGGAACATTGTGTTTCTTGGCTAAATGCAACATGTTTGTAGATTTTATTATATCAACAATTAATTTGTGAAGATGTCTAGCAAAATAGCTAAACAGAATATGGAACTATTGATTTTTAATTCTTATAAATAATATATGATCATATTATGCCATACTATGTTGCTAGGAACTTTTGGTACTAGGGAATGTAATAATTACTTTTTGACAATGCATTATTTGGTCACCAAGGGTACTGTAAGTTATTAGTAAATTTTCCTTTATGGCATTGTTAACCACTATCACATAATATGTTTACAAGAAAAAAGCTTTTGACATCTTTTGATATGTAAGAGATTTGAAAAGTCGTTCTTGTATATATGTGCCTTGTTATCTTAATATTTTGTTGAATATGATATTATTTATGTCTTGTATGTTTTCTACATTTTATTTCCTGTTTCCATGGGGTATTCAAATTTGTTTTCAAATTTATTATTATAAAGTTAACCTGAAACAAACAGTTTTTTATGTATTTTAAGTTTATCTTGTTTGATAATGATCATCAAATCTATATTGTGTCAATGTTGTGTTATTGTTTCAAATTAATAAATAATTTGATGATTTTGTAACTTTTTTCAGCAATGCAGAACTATTTGGAGATAGTGTTTCGACTAGCCATCCTTCATCAGTTTCAGTGGATCATGATGGTAAGTATGCTAGCAATATGCAAGTTTTTGATCATTTAATATATTTGAATCATTTTGCAAATTTGTGTTCATGCAGATCAGAGAGGACTTGACTTCCATAAAGATTCTCAAAGCGAAGGAGATAGTGGTGGATCTCAGAATGATATTACTCCACAACATCAAGTGTCTCTTAAGGTAATTCTGCTTCATAACCACTTTTCCTAGTAGAGACATTATTGATTCTACAACAGTGAATGATTTATTGATTGATTCATATGTATTTTTCCATTATTTTCACTATTTGCATTTTGAGTTTTTTCTAATTACTTTTTTGTTAAATTTTTTGGGTTGTGCCATCTATGATGACATCTATGTTCAATATTTCTAAATGGTTGTATTTTTTAATTCAGAAAACTGCGTGGTATTACTCATGAAAGGAACCATTAATATTATGGAACTTAAAAGCGATTTATTTTAAATAACATTAATGAAATATTTTAGTGTCACTTTTGAATAATATTAATAATGTATTTACTTTGGTTCTTAAACTATTGAAAAATATTTATTTTGTTTTTATATATTTGTAGCTTTATAGTAGTTGAATATTACTGAAGGTAATTTCTACTTCTTTGTGTATGTTGTGTATGTTGATTATTGTGCATTTGTGCAAGATAATGTGTTTATTGGTTGATCTTATTTTATAATTTTACATTTTCCACACAGCATTCTCACAACCTACTTAAAGAGCATTTACGAGCTGCTACAGCAGAACGAGGAAGACTTCAGGAAACAGCAGCTCAATTAGGAGAACAAGCTGAAAAACTAAAATATGAATTGGCTGAAGCTCAAGAAGCTGCTCGTAGTCGAGAGGAAGTTATTACTTTATTACAAGAGCAACTGTCACAAATGGAGAACAAACATAGCCAAGTTTTAGAAGAGACTCATCGTTACCGATTGAGACTTGGTAATGTGGAACAAGAGCTGAGGCATCTTCATGAAATCTGTAGCAAGGTAAGATTTTTATTTTTTCATATTTTCAAGTGAATGAAAGTTTTATGAAAGAAAGAAAAATAGAAACCCACAATTAACAAATTGCTGCATCTCAAACCCTATATCATCTGTGATGCTCAAATGTTATCAAAGTTTTGTTTGAAGCGTGTAAAACATGTCATACAAAATTTCATCAAAATCCACGATGATTGCACAGGACACTTTTCTGATTTAGACCACTTGACATGGAATCACCCTATTACAAACTTTCTGGAAATAAAATGAAACCCTACACTATTTATCTGTTCAATTTAAAAAACTGATTATAAATCTTTGTTTCGTAGTATGAAGAAGAGAAAGCACAATTAAATGAAATCATACGTCTGAAAGATCAAGAATTATATGACTTGGACAGAACTCTTGCTGAGAAAGATGAAGATAAAAGAACTGCACTTTTGTCAGAAAAAGATAAAGAAAAAACACAACAAGAATTAATGCTTCATATGGTACGACATATCCATATTAAGGCTGGAATCATGGAAAGAAGTTAGCATGTGTGGATGAAGTTAGGAAGTTAAAAAAAATGTTTTATTACTTTGTAGATATATTTGGAACAGCAAAATAACAAATCTTCTGAAGAAATTGAGAAATTAGAAAAGAAAAACAATGAATTAGAGAAAAAATTGGAAGACCTTACAGCTCAGAATGTGTTTCTGTCTGAAGAAAATTCTCGTATTTTCTCTCAGTCATCCTTGGAAATAAAAAACTTAGAGGAGGAATCATCTCGCTGGAAGGATCTGTGAGTTTTCAGGTGTTCCAAATTTTATGATTTTTGTACCATTTGTTTTGTACTCAGTTGAATATTTCATTTACAATAGAACCTTTTTTTCATTATTTCTTAGAAGTTCTTAAGTAGAGTATAATGTAACTTTATCACATGTAATTTCTCTTTTACAATATGATAAAAATGTATGAAAAGTACCCATATCTTGTGTCTGGAATTTGCAGAACAGTGATTCATAGTTTGAAATTATCTGAATATAATGGGGTGGGTGATCGTGTCATGGCAATTGAAATATTGTGCTTCAGTAATTTTGTTCATGTAAATACTATTTGAGAGAAAGTCATAGATAGAAGAGGAATTTTAATCAGAGTGATTAATTTTTTAAATAAAACCAGGCTTCCACAATTTTTTTGTAATATGATATCTAACCTTTAGGTTCTAAAGGTCTAGACCATACCAAGTGCACCATCAGTAGGACCATGGACTTGCTCTTTTGTATAACAACATGGGGAATTCTCTGCATCGTATGTCTCCAACAAGTAAGGGATTGGAACTGGTTATCAAAACATTAATTCACTTTTCACCTTTACTTATACCCATTTTGTTAAACATCCAATAGATCATAAAATAAAATCCTGTTGTGAAACAGTTTGTCGAAATGCCTAGCAAAGTAATGCTAGGAATTTTTCAGCTATAACACTTAACAAAGGATGTCTTTTAAAAGGCCCTTTTCTCACACATTATGCACCTTAGATAGGGTAATAGATGTAGAGAAAGGAAAAAATTATTCTCTGTAAGTATGTGTTATGTGAATCACAAACCTGTAGCCACAAAATGTGATATGGCTTGCATGTACTGTTAATTTTGCTGTCGTGTGAAGCAACTATGTAGAATCTGATATATGTGTCTGTTACTTTATTCTTCTGCCTACAAGCTAATTAAGTTTTGGAGCAGCAAACACCAAGTAATTTTGTGAGTCCCTTCATTCTTCCCATTCTTTCAATAATTTTTTTATTAATAGAAAACATGCCTTGGGCACTTTTCCTGTGTGCATGGTACTTAACTTTTTTATGTAGGTTTTGCTGATGATGCAGCATAAAAAAACTTTTTGATATTAAAAATATTATTTCGAAGATATAAACTATTAATTTTGTGATCATTTTCCCTATCAGAAGAGTTTAATTGCTTGCTTGTTATATGTTTCAGGTTTGAATCGGGTGTAAAGAAACTGAGTGAGCAACTGGCTCAACCTATTCCCTGCATTGTGACAGTTGCTGCTGCGTTAGGTGCGGAGGCAGGACTTCTCACACTAGTAGATCAGTACCAAAATGAGTTGAAAGATATTGTGCATAAATTTGAAAATATCAAGAATAAAATAAATCATTCATTATGTCAAGAATCATTAAATGTAAGTTATATAAGCACATTGATATTAATAGTACACATACATAAAACACTTATAAGTAGATGAATTTTTATGCAGTAAAAATCTCCAAAATATGCTGTATAATTCACATTAAAAATCTTTCAAATGTGCACAAAATGTGCTGGATAAAATTCACAAGAAAGCAAATTTTTGTACTAAAAATAAGTATAAAAAGCTTAAAAAGGTTGGATTGTGATATTATGCCTGAATCAGGTATTTTAAATATGAATGAAAACAATTGTCAGTAGAAAAACAATTGTTTTGAAAATAGTTTTATTCTTGTAAAAACGAAACTTTTGTCATGCATAAATAATAAATCAATTAATTTAATTAATTGGTCTTTAAATGCCAC